TAAGTCAGTTATAAAGAAAAATAAATACCTTCATTTACTTCTGAAGAAAGAGAATAGAGGATAAATTCTGTCTGCACATATAGTAAGTGGACATACTCCCTTAAGAAGCTTTCTCTTACATTGTCCTCTGGCTTCTGTGGTGTTTGTAAAACCGATTTTGTACTTCATGTGTCCACCTTTTCAACGTATAGGATGTGCTGACTTTGCAGCAGCTTTTTTTATGCCATCATATGCATTAATACCCAATTCTGACATATTCCCAATCTTTCAGGTCTCCATTTCTTTAATTTAGAACTAAATAATATAAATAGGTACTTGGCAGTACGTATTCTGTAACTAGTATCTCGTGAGGCATTCTATAAAACACAAGACGGTTGGATATTCTTTTTTCTGTAAGGAAGAATAAAGGTGGTGCAGAGATGGCTTGTAGTCTGCTGCTTTTTTTTCTTTTTCTTATACTCAAAACTTAGATTTTTAATCTGTATTTGAAAGCTTTCTCATCCAGCCAAATTAATTTTGAAATTGTCTTTTTCTGGATGTTCAAGCAGGAAGATATGAAGAAGTCAGGATATTAGTACATGTAACTGGAAAGATAGGATAAAAAATTGGAGAAAGGGGCAAGTATCTTAAAAGACGAGAGGAAAAAAATGTATTTAACCAAGGGGTACTTTAAACAGCCAGGACTATTAGAAATAATGAAAGTAGGAAAAGTTCCATTAAGCTATGCTATTCTGAATTTTCCAATAATAGTAGCTTCCAAGATTATTTTTAATTATGTACTCAGAATGACTTGGCTCTGAATAAACAGATTCAAAAGGGATGATTTAAATTTTCATCTCAGCTTTATAATTCTATGAAAATCCTTTTCCTGTGAGACATCAAAACACTGAGAGGAGCATCTAAACTCAGATTTAAAACAAACATCTCTTACCTTGTTTCATGCAGTATCTAGACTCAGAAGAATTGCGACTAGAATGACCTCTGTAACTGTAATTCTCCTTAATCATCAGCCTGTCATAGATACATGGTTTTAGTATTTCTGCACAGACATTGCAACATTTAGAAATAAATAAATGTTATACTTCAAATGGTGCAGCTGGTCTTTTAAAATTAATTTCAATTTTGCAAAAATAAGAAAAAAAGCTTTACATACTACTCAAATGTCTTCAAAAGTGGCTATTTATATATGATACTAAATGTAATTTTGAACTTGTTTTGGCAAAATAGTCACTGCCATAATAATGGTATAGATTTTGTCCTTATTTACTGATGTTAAGTCATGTATTCCTTCATGTATTCACATTAACATTAGTGGAATGAAATATGATGTGTAAGCATAGATGGATAGTGCTAACAAGGGTCGTATGTTAAAATTGAATTCACAAGTTTTGGTTCTTTGGGTTATGCAGTCTAAACTTTTCCAGTCACTTTAAAGAGTGAGTTTTAATTGATGTGTACTTCTTCTGAACTTACAGAAGGAGTAGGAAGTGTTTTTGCAACTCAGCCAAATACCTGGCCAGCTTGAAAGTTGTGTATTTCATACATTAGGGAAGAAAAAAAAAATGTGTTGTTATCAAAAGATGTTTTTACAGAGTTACAGTAGCTAATGTTAAACGTAGAGGTAAATTTTTTGTTTTCCCAACTAGTGTTCACCAGGTCTTTTTTTTCCCCCTCAACTTTCCTTACTCATTGATTGGTTTCCATATGAGGAATATCATGCAAGTTGTGAGACATGAAATTGTGTAGTAACTCTAATACCTTTAAAATATGCATTATGCGTCAATATGGTGGTTATTATTTTTACCTGGCATGCTCATTTGTCTCTGTTTTGTATCGTTTTGCTTCATAAGGGTACTGTAATGAAAGTATTAAATGGAAATCCTTTTTTCTGCACTTTTCCTTTCTCAGAAAAGGACATCTAATCTTTCTGATACTGTCAGTTTTGGCAGTGGAAGTAGTTACATAGATGTGTGTTCTTGTGATGTCATAATGTGGTTACCTTTTGAATTTCTAAAACCCTGCTTGTGTTTAAAAATCAAAAAATCCCCACACATGGAGAGGATTTTGTTTTTCTTTTTATGAAAGAGGGTGGATAATGTTTGTTTACCTTTCTGTGGATACTACTTTCCTACACTTGTCAGTCTTGTGTACTATTTCATCGTGTTAAAACGGAGAAGTTTGGAAGTGTTAGTTTAGCATTATCCCTTCCTATCAGAGCCTTCTACGTAATTAGAAAGGCAGTGAAATGTTAACTGTAATACAATCTCTTGAAAAATAGTATATATACTTCTGGTTTCTGTAGGCTTGGGTTTTTTTGTTGGTTGGTTGGTTTGGTTTTGGGTTTTTTCTTTAAAGGAGAAAAAAAAAGTCTGTAAAGAGTCGTGAAACCTACAAAATCCTCACTTTCTTTATCCTTACTAGTAGAACGATAAGCTTGCTACTAGGAAGATTGATATTGGTGCCTTTTGAAGCCCCTCCTTGCTGTGACACGGATTAATCGATGTTTTAATTTTTATTGTTTCTTCTCACAGAGTTGGACTGCATTGCACTTGTTGTGTTATGTCTGTAGCTCTGAGTTTTAAATAAGTGGACTATTTTATGTTTCTGAAGTTAACTATATTAATACTGCTAATTAATTTCTAGCTATCATCTTAATGTTAAAAAAAATGTCTTCTATCTTTTTTTTTTTTCTTTTTTAAGCGGGCCCAAGCTGTTCTTCAGGCAGTGACGGCTGTGCAGGCGACAAATGCTCCCATTAGCGGGACCACTGTTAGTGAGAGTGCAGTGACTCCAGCTCAGAGTCCAGTGCTCAGAATAATTATTGACAATATGTACTACCCGGTAACCCTGGATGTTCTTCATCAGGTAAGCCAAATTTCATTTTAACTTGAGCTATAATTGGGAGGAACTTCTGTGTAAAAATTTACAATGTTTTTGGCAGATATTCTCTAAATTTGGTGCTGTATTGAAGATAATCACATTCACAAAGAATAACCAGTTTCAAGCTTTACTGCAGTATGGCGATCCAGTAAATGCACAGCAAGCCAAACTAGTAAGTATAGTTCTCTTCTAAGGCTGGAGACCTTCCTGTACTCTAAATGTTTGTAAAATGTTAATATAACAGAGTACTGACCATAATAATGTGTCATACTCCTCCACCACTTCTGTGAATTTTTTCAGACTAAAAAATAACTGGGAGTTATTATATAATGTTGTTATATTGTGTAAAATCAGTGTTTAAAGATACTGTGTTTAAGGATACTATCTCTAAAGAATTGTATACATCTGTAATTATGAACAAATATTTTAATAAGACTGCACAGAGTTGAAATAATACGCAAGACTGCAACAGTGAAAATGTCAACCAGAAGTAAAAACGTAGGATGTAATGTTGATGCATAATTAATTCACTGTAAGCAGCAAATTTGGTAAGCCCATTGGATTATTGTTGGTAGATACTTTCTAAGCATCAAAATAAAGATGTCATTTGTGGATTGGATATAGGTTTGTTAGGGTACTATAATTAAAGTACTTTCAAAAGACCCCAACGAAACACCCTAGACTTCATTATAACCATAAATGCCCAGAAGAGAGAGTGCAGTCTTACTCATGGAACCAGACTATGAAGAAGCTTTGCAGCAGTGACAGGTGAGAGCAGGATCTTACTTTTATTTTATTGGAAACTCTCCTATCCTGGGTAGGAGAGGCAAGAACAGGTAACTGGTTTTATTCATTATAGCAGGAGAGAGCGTGTGGATAAATTATGACAAAGATCAACAGCGTGTGATCTAGACCAGATGTTTTGAATTAATTTAATGGGGTATGTTCACATCTGTGGCAATAGGAAAGTTGAACCAAAGGGGAAGGCTAGATTTTTTATTATTACTTTTTTTTTTTTCCAAGAGATAAATGGAATTAATTTATATTTTCAAACCTTCACATGCAGTCTGGGTTTGTGGAAGGCTGATTAAAATTGATATGCTGGTTAAGTGTTGCTTGGCAGCATAGAAAGTGCTTATTGCCCATAGATGACAGAACAGCTGAGAACTTGAGGAAAAAGTGAAAAGCTTGCACCTCAGACTAAGTTGGCAATTAATATCTCTTAGTAGAGGAAAGAAAAAATAGGCTTAGTTTTCTGTTGTAAAGAATGATGACTATATTGAAATAAAGACCTTCATTAAATGGTGGAGGATGGTCATTTTTATCTTCATTGCCAAATGAAATACTGGGTATTGATTGAAAAACTGCGAGGTGGTCAAGACAGGAAATCACAAAAAATAGAGATGTTTTCAAAAAGCAGAGTGTAAGTTTTTATGCTATTGAGAAAAGTAAAGTTAGCCAGAGACAAGAAGATTTGCAACTTGAGGTATGATGGTCTACTTTAAGATAATCTACTCCTGAGAAGCAGTCTGGAAATATTTGTAGACTTGGAGTACAATTTAAATTAGGAAAATCTTTTTCAGAGATGAATAGTATCAAGTATTAGATTGTGTCTCAGAGCAGAGGGAGGTGCAAATATGTAACTGTAATACATAAAAATTTGCTTAGATGGCATACACCTTTCAGGTTTTAAGTAGGTTTAAAATAGTAATATAGAAACTAGATCTTTAACCTACAACTGCTGCAGAAATCGACTGTAGTCATTTAGATTCATATTTGAAATATTTAATAAACAGTTGGATGCTAATGTGTTCGTTGCAGAATGTTGTAATTCAGTCTTGATTCGTGTTTGGAAAGTTATTTTTCAGTACTAGATGTTAATACTGCTTTTAAAGCGTATTTTTGAAGCAAATTATGACATCAAGTGATAAATCTTTTGACTTCGTTTTTTGAGTCTTACATATATTATCAGAAGATTTAATGGAAAGATGGCGTCTGTGAAATGGACTGTAGTGATTTGAAAATTATCAGTGTAATTCTAGGAATATATTATAAAGAAGTGACAAAATAACAAAAGGATGAGGTATGTAAAAGTATGAAAGGAACCTAAGAATCTCTTGCTGTTGTTGACTTCTGACAAACTGATACTAGCTCGTGGGATACTGTTTTGGTCATAATTTAAAAAAACCAGCATGTATTTGTTTCTTCAGTTTTGCATGTTTTGATTAGGGTAGCTGTTCGCTAGCGGTAGCTCATGTGTGAATGACTAAACTTGATTGAATAACAGTGACTCCTGCATGTTCAGTCATTGTCAGAGTGATCTTGGAGCCTATCTTAGTGACAAATTGAAATGGTCTTAGGTTTATAGTTTCATATTTTAACCAATCTATACATAAATAGACAAAATGCTGAGTAATACCAACTGCAAGTATTGAAGAATGCTAAATTTGAAGGAAGGTTTGATTTCCCCGCTACCCTCCCAAGCTAAATAGAGTAAAATAAGTACAGTTCTTACGGTTGAGCTACTGTGGTAAAACATGAAGTGCCACCAAAACAAAAATACCTAAAGGAAAGAAACAATCAGATGATAGGAGAAACCCCTGCAGTTTAAATACATCTGAAAATAGAGTAGAAGCAAGAGGATGTAGTGGCTACACTTAAGTTGCATGGAGTTCAAAATTAAAAGCATGGTGAAAGAGTAAAGAAGTTTTCACTTTGTTTTCCGTCAGTTGTTACTGTAGAAGATAATGGGGAAATTTAATTTTCCACTGGCACTCTTCACAGGAAATCAGAATGTGGCCTTAATAGAAATTGAAGACTTATTAAGGAAGTTAAAGAGCAATTTGAAAAACTCAAGTGATGTAAGTACCAAGGAGAGATGCTATTCATTTGAAGGTTCTGAGAAAATAGTGACACTGACAAGAATGTACAATACGAAGCCTCTAGCCCTGCGGGACCACTTTTGCTATTTGAATGAGCAAGTAGTGAAAAATTGCATT